GGCGTCTTCGTTGTGCTGGGCTATATTCCGTGGCCCAGCTGGCAATCTAATTATGTAGGTAGCCGCGGCCTTACCTCCGTTGTTGGCCTTATGTTGACCTCAATATCATTCTGCAGAGGTTGGTCGGTAAATAAAAACGCGAGTATTGTCTCTCATGGTTCGTCTCCACTCAGCTGCGCCATTGTCATCAAATTCGAGATGTCGGGTGATATATTGATTCTCACGAGTTCCGCAAGTGCGTTTCATCGCTACAGCTGTAATTAACTCCTGGCAATTAGCTTCTAGTTCTCAGTGTGCTGCGCATCTATGCAATGTTTCCTCAAAGCAAGCTGTTGTTAGGGATTTCACTAGTGATTGGGTTGATAAACCCTGTCATATCGACGGTAGACCAATATGCAGTAGAAACGTCTCAATACTGAAATTTTGTCATCAGTACACATTTACTGTATCAACGCCAATTTTACTTTACGTATCCCCGACCTTTCAGCAATGTTACCTAGACTCATCTGCCTCTTCAAATGGGTATGTCAAATCTTGGAACTGTCACGAAAGTACATGGCTGATGCGATTTTTTTAGTTGTAAGTTAAGAAGACATCCTTTATCTGCTTCCGAGAGTAATGACCTTCCGCAGGGATGATGGGAGCAAGGGTTACGTCCCTGCTATTCGATGCGCTTGTCTTAGCATTGACTTGGCACCGAACACGGCGAATCAAACATCTCAGCGGGCTTGCAGTCACACAACCAGCTGTAGTATCAATGATTCTTATGAGAGATAGTGCGTGTGTATGCAATCTATAAGTGTATTGTTCTAATCAAGGGCATTTAGCGGCTATTTATTTTGGGTAATTTTTTTATACTTTAGTTTCGTTGCGACAATTCTGGACACTCAGCTTAGGTTCCTTTTTATCGTCAATGTTGTTGCAATAGGAATAGGTCGTCTTGCCGTAAGTCACCAATCAGCCTAACATCGTGCTTCATCTCATTGCGATATGCACCCCTCAGTTTATTGAAGCCATGTCGACGTGGACTGCGATGTCAGTCTTTCTTGTCGCTGATTTAATCTTCGCTACATTGATCGCGATACGCATCTTCTAGATTGACATCTGTGCTGTTATCACGGCTGATGCTGGATCTCCGCGATTCCAGTCCGCCGGATGGTCTTGGTACAGACGACCCGGACACTGTTTTTGAGACTGTAGAGCCCTTGGATTTTGTTGGTATGACAGCAACGAATCGAGTATACGAGATCAATACTATCCATAATCACAACAGTAGTTCAGTCTAAATAATACATTGGTATTACTAGATCCTTACCGACCCATTTCTCCGACGATTCAATACTTTAGCTGTGGACGGCGATGGCGCGTGAATGTCATACCTAACTCGTCACGTTTTGTGACACCACGCGCCCCTGCCTGGTCTGGTCACATCTGTGCGGCGGCTGTCGCTCGCTCGAATCTTCGCGTCGCAATGTTCAGAAGCTCAAAGTTTTTGCTCAAAACCTTTCTCCACTGTAGTCCGAGGTCCACACTAGGTATATACTCTAACAGAACATGCTGGAGACAAAGGCAATATCACGGTGATGTGGCCCCGCCGAACTGAGTGTCGTTCGTGATTCTTTTCACGGGCACGTTTGAAGATTAACCAGGATATCGTGCGTGATTTGATAGAGGGAAATTGATGATAAACACGCACATTTTTATAGGAATATACCACTGGATATGGAGTTATTCTTAATGACATAAATCGATTCTTCGATCGCCGTGGCTCACGTTGCGTCATCCAAAAGTGACCTCTGCCTCGGGATATTCAACGCCGACACGTCGAACTGCTTAAATACCTGCAGCCAACTCTTCTTCCTCTCGGCACGATGCTTTAGTAGTCTTTTCAGAACACTCTGAGATTCTGTCTATATTTGACGGCCATTAGGGTGTTTCGTGGGCAGCGTCCAGCAAGTCATTGCACAGCTGCTTAGTAGACACTTCGTGCAATGTTTTTGGCATCAAGCTCATCTTCAAGCACTGTGCAAAGCGATGGAGTGTGGCTTGGCGAGACTACGTTGCAAGACTTGATGGATACCGGCTTTTTGACCCAATGCGCTCTGACCAATTCTTCCATCGTATTGTCGTCGCAAGTATGCTATCACATAAATTCGCTTACATTCGATCTAATGAGTATTCATCAAAGGGACATGTTGGCGCTCGGGAATCGCAACAAGACATAGATATCCACCCCTCCGTTGAGCAGTTATCTCCAGCTGCACCCAGACAAAAGGCGAGGAGAAAAACAAGAACCAAAAAGAACATACGTCCACGCGCAAAAAAAGAGGTCCAGATTCGCTTCATATATAGCGACGCTATGGGCAATCCTCCGGGTGACGACACTACCGATCATGGCGACCATCTATATCCTGACCATCGCTCAACCTTACAACCTGCCATCTCCCGACCTACTGATTTGTGTAATTCCAACAACGTCCCTCCTGCTCCGCTTGCGTCTCAGCCTCACTCCTTTTCTGGGTCATACGACGCGGTCTCGCTTTCTGCGACCATGGCGCCTGGGCCAGTGGTACGAGATGTTTCACTATGCGAAAGAGATTTGCTGGGAATACCAGCCAATATGATGCACGGATTTCGTTCGGCCTTCGTGCAGTATGAAGGCGGTTCCCTGAGCGGACGGCCTGACTATCTGTGCAATTTTAAGTATACCGGGCCTGAAGCCTCGTTCTCGTCTGTGGAGTCACTATCCAGCTGGGCGATGGAGCGGGAAAGCATACAGAGTGCTAGTATTTCTCAGGCAGGTGAAGAACCGGGCGGAAAAGTCGGATGCTATGATCAAGAGGACAGTGGCGGGGGAAGTGAGGGCAGAGGGAGATCCATCCGAGACAATGGCGATAGCGCTGTGCCTTTCCCTGCAGATGGCATTACTTCCACCGCGTCTGGTACGTATCATATCCCGACAGCTCCCGCCTCCGACACATCTATGAGCATTGTTGCCGCCGACGCAGATGAAGCTAATATAATTGCTGTAGGCCCAGCCGGTACGCGAGAGGATATGGTACAGAAACCAATCAAGAGTCGACGTTCGCGATCATGGAGCGGTAGAGCGAAGAGCAAAACCCCTTCGACCACAGGACAAAATGTCCTGCCTTCTTCTCTATCAATCCAGACAACCGCTGTAGCATCTGCAACTGATGATAGCGTTTCGCGGCGTTCAAGCGTTAGGCTTAGACTGAAGGGGACGGCTCATCTCGAGAACAACGCCCTGCATATAGTCGGCGTGCGGGACACTACGGAGAAGGACGACAAACAGAGGCGTAAAGGGAACAGATCCAACAGCGGAATATCAAAGTCGCACACGAGCCGCAGAACCAATAGAGGTGATATGCTGGTTGGCTCTGGCGGCTCATCTAAACCTCTGATACCATCCCCTTCAGTCCAATCATCTGTCGTAGTGGAGCAAAGTGAATATCCGACATCCATTGTCAATCATAATGAATCTTGTGTCGAAGCTAGTTCTATCGCAGACAACAGTGAAACCACATGGGCTCCTCCTTCGACCGACTTGGACGTGATGGAGCGGGCTGCTGGACAAGTATGTATTCAGCGTCCCCCAGCATCGACGTGTCATCCCCCCGAAGCGCCAGTTGGTCCACTGCATAATGTCCAGATTGTCGTCGAGACAGTGTCCCGCAACGATGCCAAGCAGATGCATACGCCTCGCCCGGAGCTAAACTTGACACCGTGGCAGACGCATACACCTACTCCGTGGTTGAATTGGCAAACACAAATGTGTTATCCCGGCATTTCGCCGGGTATCTCATCTCCCAAGCTGAATACCCCATTTGCTGGGAGTTTCCCTCCCTCATCATCGACCATACCCACGCTGCAGGACACTCACACCGACTCGGTGGGCCAGGTCGAGGTGTCCATGGCACCGGTTGACACAAACATTCCACTTCCACTGTGGCCATGCATCCCCTTGCCTCCATCGACTCTCCCCAATGTTTTCTCTGATACTTCGCGCTTTGAACCTGTACCGTGGCTCCCGTCGGTTCCTGCATATACATTCCATCCTGTTCCCACAGGCGCAAGTGAAGGATGCTTACCTCTTTGTACTCCGTCGTCCACCTTCCATAGTGACCCTTTTCGCCTATTTCTTCCTGACTCGCCAGAGCAAGGGCGATACTCGGTATCTGGAATTCCAGCCGGCAGCGACTATAGTTCCAATCGTGGATGTGAAGATGACGTTGAAATTGTAATGAACCAAAGCGAGACTTCAGTGAATGTTAGGGGAAGCCAAACGGATAATATTTCCCTTGAAAACTCTGTAGGGACGACGCATGGTATGTGATAGTTGACCTTGTCTACTGCACATAGTGACCAACTTACTTCTTGTGATTTTTGCGAAGGACTCGGGGGTGGTCGAAGCACAAACAATCCTGTAGCATGGTGCCGGTGCCCTTTCTGTCCACGCGCGTTTCGTCGTCAGAATGGCCTAGCCATTCACCTCAAATGGCACCGCGGTGAGAGCTCACTAGAATGGAAGCGAGGTAAGCACTTCACATTAATTAGCGGACATTGTTGACACCTTCCCAGGGATTAGCAAAACGAATAGAATCGTGGCGCGAGTACGTGCTGAGGTTGCACGGAAGAATGCTCAGGATAATGATATCCCAAGTCCTTCGACTGGTTCTACCTCGCACACTAGGCTTCAACAAGCCATGTCATCCCGAGGCGATGTGGTCTCAGATGGTTCTGCTCTGAACCCTAATTTTGCTTCTGCCTTTGTGTCTGCACCATTAGCACAGCACATTGTCAACACCTCGCCAATGCCCTC